GTTCTGCTCTATGCTAGTGAGACTTGGCCCCTTCGGTCTGAAGATCTAAGGCGCCTTCAAGTCTTTGATCATCGTTGTTTGCGAAGCATTGCTGGTGTCGGATGGCACCAGCGTGTCGGCAACGATGATGTGTGTAGGCGAGTACTAGGTGGTGATAATCATGCTAGCTCCCTAGAACAACAAATAGCACTGAATAAGTTGCGTTGGCCCGGGCACGTGCTACATATGCCTGGTCACCGTTTGCCTAGGAGGGCCTTGTTTATTCTTCCAGGTGTAGGGTAGTGCAAGGTTCGAGGTGGACAGCAGTTGGCTTGGCAGCGGGAAATAAAGATTTTGGCGAACAAACTGGGTGCCGTTGGTCCGTCTCGTCTTCCGGGCTGGAGTCCACCTGACTCGCCTTGTGCTTGGCTCGAGAATTTACAGAACATGGCTCGCAACAGACACCACTGACGCGTCTGCTGCCGTCTCCTGATTGGATTGCCTGTTTAAAGTGTGTTTGGTGCTGAGTTATCTGCGGGGTAAGGGTTGATTATGACGGGGGGGCAATGAAAGCAGCAAGGAAGCTGTCTCGCCGATGCCGCCTTATCTTTGCACGATAGCCAGCTGGTTGTGACAGTATGTTGTCTACACAAGGTGTAGCCGCCTTGACCCTGAATGCTTAGGGCATTATGATTATTATACATTATTCATTATTATGCTTTATTTCATAGGTCCTCATGGTTGTATGGCAGCGAAGCATCAGTTCAAATGGCTGATGTACTGCTGTTGTTTTTTGTTGTTATGGATTCGCTTGCAACCATATCAGGTCAGGTCAGATCAGTTTCTGAAAACGATACAGGCTTTCGCCTAAGAAGCGTCCCTTTTCTCGAACCGGTAAGCGAACCAACCCTGTCCGCACGAGTGACCAAAAAGCGTCCGGTAGCGTGGTCCTTGGACGTCCTTGAGTGACCAACTTTCGTGCCCCCGGCCGTCCCAATCGGAAACTTTGAACTTTTGGTCACTGATTTTTCCAACCCACCCTTATGTACCTTGAATGAATTGTTCCTAGTAGCAAAAGCCGTCAACATCAAGAAGAAATCGAATCCCAAATTATAACTATGCAATAGTATAGCGGTTAAGCTAAACCGAAAAAAGTTTTCAGTTACCTAAATTCGTCCCAATTGGGACGACTTTTGATCCCACAGGAAGTTATTTCAATGCACGCTTGCTATATGCCCTAAATGCATCCTTTCTGATTGATGAAGCGTTACTACAAAGGATGGTTTCATTGTCGTTTGATGTGGGTGAACCAGGGATAAATGTTGTTTCTGCCTTTCGCATTGGCAGAAAGCAGAACGACTCTACAAAGTCTCGCCCTCTCAAGATTTTATGCAAAAATGAAGATAAATGCAGGCGCATCCTCTGACGCACTTTACGTATTAAAGGAGAATCGTTTTATGTTCTAAGAGATCTGTCTCCTAAGGATAGGATAAAATGAAGAGTGCAGTTGATAAACTTCGAAAGCGCCAAGCAAATGGTGAGACGGACCTTCACAATGTGGATTTTCGAGTAGCTCGGAAAACTCCGAGAACTCGCTTGAGACCCATCCTTGTTCTACCCGGACAGTAAGGTCGAAGAACGGTTTGCGTGTGTTGTCCGCTAATGTGCGCAGTTTGTGGAACAAATTGGACGAGGTTCAACTTCTTGTCATCGATAATCACCCTGACTTGATGGCTTTCTCTGAGACGTGGCTGTCCTCGGACATCCGTGACTCGGAAGTATATATCCCTGGATATCACTTCTCCCGGGCTGATCGCCACGGAGCGAGGTCAGGTGGTGGAGTTATACTCTACTGAAGGGTGGACCTCAAGGCACATTTACTTGATGCTACTTGTGATATAGATGGTGGCTTCGAAGCTCTGTGGTGTCGTATTCATGACGGGTATATATCTCTCCTGGTATGTATCGCCTATAGATCTCCCTTGGGTTCAGAAGCTCTTTTGCTGGATTTAATTAAATCGCACAACAAAGGTAAGGACTGCTTAATTTTTGAAGACTTCAATGCACCTGGCATTGAGTGGGACCTGCTTTATTGTGGTCTCCCTTCTGACTCTTTTGATGCTCTTCTACTTCAGACCGTTCTCGATTGCAACTTGTTTCAGCATGTATTTTCACCCACTCGGTTGTTCTCAGGCCACACGCCGCATGTTCTTGGGCTAGTGCTCTCCCCGATGCCGTCAGATGTCATCGACCTGGTTGTTATGCAACCTATCGATAAGAGTGATAACGGCGCTGTTTCCTTCCAATGGGCACGTCGATTTTCCATGCATGACCAAGGTGATTTCCGGCGTAATTTTTGGTGAGCCGATCCGCAGCGTCTGCATGAGGCTACTGCTAACATGGACTGAACCGTTCCTCATTTTTTTAGTGCTAACGATGCTTAGACTCACTTTTACTCCAGAATGATGTCGTTAACCAGGTTGGCTTTTTTCTAAAGGAAAAGAGGAACAGCAAGAGGTCCTCCTTGGATCGACAAACAGCTGGGGTCTCTGATGAACAAAAGACGCAAATTATGGACCGATTCAAGTGTACACAATCGACGGCCGACTAGTTGGAATACAAAACGCTTAGGAACTTTTGTATCCTGAAGAAGCGGGAGAATCGCCAAAACTACGAGTTTCAATTGCCGGTGCAGTCCAGGTGCTCCCCCAAAATGTTCTCATATCTGAAAAAGGCACTAAAGGTGGTAATGGCATTCCATCCCTGTATTCCAGTAAACACGCTGCCTTACTGCATGAGGATGCTGCAAAAGCGAATCTCTTAGTTCAACAGTATTCATCCGTTTTTACAGATGAAACTCCGTTTTCTGACGTCGTACTCTCGTGCTCATCTTTGCTGCATCATCTTGAGATCAGTACGGAAACTGTTACTCAGTTCCTTCTTCAGTTAGATCCGAACACCTCGCCCGGTCCTGATGGCCTGCACCCTCTGTTTCTCAAGACCGTGGCTAAGTACATTGCAGCCCCAGCTTGTCATGTGTTTCGTTGCTCTATTGAATCCGGACGCTTTCCATCAGCTTGGAAGCTGGGCATTGTCAAGCCCATATATAAAGGAAGGAATCGCCAAGACCCAGCAAACTATCGTCCCGTTTGCCTAACATCAGTAATGTGTAAAATTATGGAACAGATTCTCAAGAGAGCTCTCAGCCTTTACTTCGAGGACCGGAGTGTGATTTATACTGCTGAGCATGGCTTTCGTAAGTCACGCTCGTGTACCACCAATGTTAGTTGCCAGAGAAAAATGGGCGAACTCACTGGATGCGGGCAAACGTATGGACGTTATCTACATTGATTTAAGCAAAGCGTTTGACAAAGGTCCTCATGAGCGGCTTTTGTTCAAACTTCAAGAATTAGTATCTCTGGGAGGGTTCTCTCGTGGATCTCTGATTTTCTTTCAGACCGAATTATACGAGTTAAGGTCAATGATACGTATTTAGCCCCCGTCCTTATGACCAGTGGCGTCCCTCAAGGCTCTGTTCTCGGACCAGAGTTGTTCAAATTCTTTATTAACGACCATTCAACTCTCCGGACCGAATGTTTGGTCTATGCTGACGATTTGAAGTTATGGATGGAGGTATCCAGCGCTGAGGATGCTGACCGACTCCAAAATATACTAGATCGGCTGCACGATTGGACAAGTAAATGGCAGTTGCCTATAAATCGCGATACATGTTCTGTACTCCCTATTAGTGCTACTGAACCATTCGGTGTTTACCACCTTGGTGGCTATTTGCTTAATAATATGAAACAGAAAAAAGACCTTGGGGTTATTGTATGCTCTGATCTAAAAACCGCCCGAGATACTTTGAGGAGGGTCGTCGCGGCTAACAGACTACTGTGCTCTATCCCAAGAGCTTTCACACGATTGACGCCGGGGGTTTTCAGACTTGTGTTTTCCTCCCATGTGCGTCCAGTGCTCGAATATGGATTACCCGCAGCTCATCCGATTAGAAAGTTTGAACATGGCTTGATTGAGAAAGTTCAGCGGCGCGGTTCTAAGTGCATTTTTGAGCTCCGACACCTGCCATATCACATTAGTCTCCAGCACTTGAATATGTTCTCTCTGGCATATCGGCGTCGCCGAGGCGATCTGACCTACGCTCGGCGCATTCTGCGAGGTGAGATAGGAGTCGAGCTCCAAGGTTTCTTCTAGATTAACACAGTGTTTGACTCGGGACCACTGCTAGAAACTGTTTAAACCTAGGAGACTCAGGCACCGCTCTGATATTACCCTATCGACTCGTGTAGTGAACGACTGGAACTCCTTGCCTGATTTCGTCGTCAACGCACACATTAAATGTTTTAAACGATTGTTGGATTTACACTTGTTGAATTTGCAGAGATCTTGTTTCATATGCAACTGTGACAACCTAACTTGTTGATTGTTGTTGCGCAAACACCTGCTACGATTGGGAGGTGATGGATCTGACTAAGGTTTTTCCTTCTGCTTTCTACATTCCAATGATTCCAATGAAAATACCGTATGAAGCAGAAACCGATCTCTAAATGTTAGGCGCATAGCATAATAGCCGTTACGTTTAACCGAAAATGTTTTCAACGGCCAAAATTGGACCAAAAGTGTCCAATTATGACGGCCGGAGGCAATAAATTTGGTGACTCAGTTTAATGGTCACTCGCGTTGAGTGAAATTACGGTTTGCCTAAAAAGTAACGCCTTTTAGGCAAAAGACAGGTGTTAAACAAGTAAAATCTTATGTAACAGCAGTTGTAGACATATCACGCCATATATTCTATATTAACTTTCGCTTCTGCGCGTGACCAAATGCACGCAAATGAGACAGCTGCCCGGGGTACAGGGAAGCCCCGGGCAACTCGAGGTTACAATGATCGTTAAACGATCGAAAACTGCGCAGCACTCACCGCTATACTCAATAAGCTATGCAACTTTTGCTTAGATCTATCATCATGACTGGAATGAAACGGTCAAGCAGTGTCAACTCACCAATCAAGGCATCCATACTCACGAAGGAAGTACAGGGTATGCCGTATTCACAGAGGAGCAGGAAGCCGAATAATTGCAGACGCCTCATGGTACAGCTCAGATTTAAATGAACGTACAAGTTCAACTTCAAGCGGGACTGGAACGATAGGATAGATCCCGTGAGTGTTCCTTCTTCGGCAGGTCGTTGAACCAGGAGTTAGCGAACTTTGAAATACTGATGGACCTAAAACAAAGACCGCATCACACCCTGTCCAACCAATTAATGCCCACGTATCCTGCCCTAGCAGTCCCTGCTGGGTCGGTTACGTGAAGTAAGAAAGAGAAAAAAGTAAACGCAGGAGGCAAAAGAGAAAGTGGTAAGAGCTAAGCAAATGGAATACCAAGATATTTGAGTCAATAAAAAAGAACTGAAAAATGAAGGTGAGTCGGCTAGGAAAAAGGAAAGGTTTGCTGTTGCCACCCAAGAGCATCTAGCTGGCGCGCAAAACCCTTAACCGTAGGTTCTGTAACGGTTCCGTCAGAGCAGGTTTGAAATGCCGAGAGACGATCGGGCTGAAATGGAGCGCACAGTAAACACACACGACAGTAACTGGACTAGTCTATGAATGCGTTAACACATGCAATCGGATGAGGAAGGAGCGTCACGATATCCAGCGAACGCGGCACGAAGAGATGCAACCAATCGGGCAGTCACAGACCACGGAAGGAAGAACACGATGGGAAACAGCAACGTGTATCTCCGACAACCAACAACGAAGGTACAATCAAAACAAAACAAAACGCAAGTCGTTCAAAAGTGGTATAAAAGGTCCGTAGGTGCGTCAAATGGGAAACATGTTCATAACGATTCATTCATTGTTCAACGTGTTCGAGTCTGAAAAAGGAAAGAAGAAAGAGAGTTAAAAGTGGCGGTTCGTTCAAAGTCCCATTACAGTTTCGGTTTCGTTACACTGCCCCCCTCCTGCATTGGGCACTGCCCTCAGTGCCTCCGTGTCTGCTGCCGTAGCCATCCCGCCTTCGGGTGGTATCTCTACAGTTCCTTCCACCATAGGCAGGCATCCCGGGGGAACTATTCCGTCTGATGGTGCAGAGTTCGATGACGAAGTAGCTGGTTTCAATTGATTGTAATGAACAGTTAAAACGTCTGATCTCGGCTCATTGACACTCCGAATTACATATACCGTGGGGGAACGGATAAACACAATTTCGTAAGGGCCTTGCCATTGGCGATGAAATTTACTGGACGCGCCTGCAGGAGGCTTCGGTCGGTGCAGCCACACATGATCTCCTACGTGGTATTCTGGCCCGAGACAGCGCTGGTCGTAACACCGTTTTTGGCGGTTTTGCGCATTTCTCATGTTTAGCTGGACGCTGAGGAACGCAGATCGAAGACGCTCCCGTAGATCGCGTACATACTCCAAGAGAGAACAAGCCTCTAGCGGTGGGATCGGAGACATCAGTTCTACCGGCAACCGAAGCTCTTGACCGTGTGTCAGATAAGCTGGAGAGTAGCCCGTGGTTGCATGCACTGCCGCACGGTAAGCCATCATGCACTGTGGTAAAAGCTCATCCCAACGATTCGTCTGTTGCCGTTCAATAAAAGTTTGGAGGATTCCTTTGATAGTTCGGTTCGTACGTTCAACCAGTCCATTTCCCTGGGGGTGATAGGGTGTAGTCCGCGTCTTCCTGATAGAGAGCAGCCGACAAACTTCGCGCATCAGTTGGCTCTCGAAAGCAGCGCCCTGATCTGAATGAAGTGACAAGGGGGCGCCATATCGAGCAACCCATTCGTTTACAAAAGCGGATGCGACCGTTGCTGCATCGGGTTGTTTGATTGGAATTGCTTCGCACCACTTCGTAAAGTAGTCGACGAGGACTAAAATGTGTCGATTCCCATTCGCCGTGATTGGGAGAGGGCCCATCAGATCTACCCCAATGCGTTGACCCGGTGCGGTAGTGACCATGGGCATCAGAGGAGCTCGCGGTACGGTTGCAGGTGACTTCACAGAAGTACAAATGTCGCATTCGTTGCAGAACTTGGTAACATCGGCGTGTATCCCCGGCCACCAGTAGCGTTGGCGAACAGCAGCTTCCGTCTTCCTCTGACCCGCGTGGCCTAACTCATTGTGAACTTTCTGTAAAACAGGTGGTATTCGCACCGTCGGAGTAATAAGTTTCGGACCAGACTTATCCAGCAAATACAAAACTCTACCGATGGCCTTCAAACTACCCCAATGTCCCCAGAGCGCACGTTCATCCGCTGATCGAGATTGCATTTCGATCCCAGAAGGTTTCGACGATCCATCCAGTTGACGCATGTATATGTTGGAGATGTAAGGGTCATCAGACTGGTCATTGGCCCATGCTTCATCCCCCTCTAGATCACGTAAAACCGCGTTCACTTCGTCCGATGCAGGAAGTCTGGAAAGCGCGTCTGCATTGGCATGTCGTGCGCCGGGCCGGTATTCACATGTGAATTCGTACTCTTGTAACTGTTCTTGCCATCGCGCGACTTGTCCCTCAGGGTCACGGAAGTTTCGAAGCCACTGAAGAGATTGGTGATCCGTTCGAACCAGAAACGGTTTTCCAATGAGATATGGTCGAAAGTATCTGAGAAACTTGACCAAAGCCAGTAACTCGCGTCTGGTGGTGCTGTACCTGCGCTCCCGTTTGTCTAGACGGCGGCTAGCGTAAGCAATCACAACTTCGCCACTTGATGTTTTCTGTGACAAGACTGCTCCTATTGCGTCCGCACTGGCGTCTGTATCCAGCACGAATGGTCCCGCTGTATCAGAAACATCAGGAAGGCCAAGAATTGGTGGTGATGATAGACACTCTTTCAGTTGTGTGAAAGCTCGATTACACTCATCGGTCCAAAGGAACTGTCGGCCCTTTTCGGTCAGGCGATGTAGCGGGGCCGAGATGGCAGCGAAATTACGAATAAACCTGCGATAATATGAGGCAAGTCCCAGGAAGCTTCGTAGATCCTCCACATTACGAGGTCGTGGCCACGATTGAACCTTTTCGCATTTACCAGGGTCGGTGCTGATACCATTTGGTGTGATGACATGACCCAAGAAAGTAACTTGGCTACGCAGGAATCGGCACTTGGAACCTTTCAGCCTTAGTCCGGCTTGCCGTAGCCGTTGCAGGACAATGCGCAGTCGGTCATTATGTTCTTCGACGGAACGGCCATGGACTATAACATCGTCCAAGTAAATTAGGCATTCCTTCGGCACAAGCCCTTCCAAAACCTTTTGCATCAGCCGTTGAAACGTTGCGGGAGCGTTTGCCAACCCAAAAGGCATTGTCTCAAATTCATACAAACCCGATGGCACGATAAAAGCTGTCTTGCCTCGATCAGATGGGCGGACCTCCACCTGCCAGTACCCAGCGGCCAAGTCGAGGGTTGAAAACCAACGTGCACCATGGAGCGCATCGAAAGTAGCATCGATACGTGGCAGTGGAAAAGAATCCTTTCGGGTAACCTCGTTCAGTCTCCTGTAATCTACACAGAGTCGTAGAGATCCATCTTTCTTTTTAACTAGGACGATGGGAGAGGCCCATGGTGACGTTGACGGACGAATAACGTGCTTCTCCAACATGTCCTTAATCATATTATCGAGTTGAGGTTGGTAGTGTATGGGGACTCTCCGGGCCGGCTGGCGAATAGGGTGTTGGGTGCCCGTGTAAATTTCATGCTGAATTATGCTTGTACGTCCAAGCTTGTCATCACCAAATAAATCCTCAAACTCTCGGAGCAAAGAACAAAGTTGCATCTTGTGTCTTAGAGGCAAAGTCGTATCATTATTTAAGGGATCGATTACGTCGGACATAAACGGTGAAGCTTCAGATGGTTCGAGCGAAACCGGACAGGAATGCAATGAACTCAGAGCGTCGCCTGTGCTGTTCCTTAACGGATCATGTGTCAAAGTAGCGCTGGAGAGGTAAAGAGTACTCGCGTGTTGGCCCAAAAAATCCATTCCCAAGATGGCTTCCCATTTAAGGTTCCGACAGACTAAAAACTCGTGAGTAGCTGTGATTTTGCCCAAACGGACCCTGGCGATTAGGGAGGATGCTACTGGTAGTTCAGACCCGTTAGCAGTAACTACACGGGGACGTTTCATACGGAATGCTCGACGATCACCGAGACGACTGGCTACATCTAATCGCAACAGAGAACATGATGCCCCAGTGTCAATCAAAAAACGCAAAACAGCATCGTTCAGGAACCCAACCGTGGTCAGCGGACTAATTACGGCATTACAAACAAAAGCAGACATTAAGTGTTCAGACCTACCTCGGGGTCTTCGCGGCCTGATCGGGGGATTGTGCCCGCAGTGTTGAGCACGCTTTCCAAACCGGTGGCAGTACCAGCAACTCGTGTTCGGCGGGTTCGGTGTAGGCGGAGTGGTTTTCGTAGTTTCGTGTATCTTCGCTGTGGTGGGACCAATCGCATGGCATTCACGAATTCCAGGGGACTCGGAAGTGCCGTCTAGTATTTCCATTGCTTCTTGTGTCCGCGCATCTTTCAGCAACTCTTCGAGGCGGCATGGTAGTCTGCGCACCAACTCGTTACGAAGCGACTTGTCGCGCAAGCCCATACAAAAGCGTTTGCAAACACAATTCTCCCGTGCGGAAGGCGAAAGTTCTGGGAAAGCTTTCAGTGCGAGGTCTCTAAGCGCACGTGAGAACATATCCACCGTTTCGCCGGGCAACTGGTTGCGGGTAGCGAACTTCTCCTCGTAAATCACAGAAGGCTCTGATTTTACAAATAAACGTCGCAAAGCCTGCCATATTTCTGAGGAAGAAGACTTCGGTGTAATACCCGTTGAACGGATGAGCCGCAAAGCTTCGTCGCTCAGGAAGCTGAGGATAAAAATCCCGACATCTTTCTCGGGGACAGTGGATAAGTAGGCTGAGACCTGAAATTCCCAGTTTTCGAAGTCGTCGTCCGGCTGAAAAAATGACGGCTGTCGGGGCGTTGGACGAAAACCCTATGAACATTCGCGTGTACAACGGCGAACATTAGCTTTTACTTCGGGTAGGCTGAACTCTTGGTTGTCCATTTGTGAATGATCCCACCTCTGTCACCAACTTGTAACGGTTCCGTCAGAGCAGGTTTGAAATGCCGAGAGACGATCGGGCTGCAATGGAGCGCACAGTAAACACACACGACAGTAACTGGACTAGTCTATGAATGCGTTAACACATGCAATCGGATGAGGAAGGAGCGTCACGATATCCAGCGAACGCGGCACGAAGAGATGCAACCAATCGGGCAGTCACAGACCACGGAAGGAAGAACACGATGGGAAACAGCAACGTGTATCTCCGAGTTATAAAGGGGGGGGGGGGGGGGGGGGGGGTGGTTTGGGGGGGGGGGGGGGGGGGGGGGGGGGGGGGGGGGGGGGGGGGGGGGGGGGGGGGGGGGGGGGGGGGGGGAAAAAAAGTTGAGGGGGGGGGGGGTGGGGGGGGGGGGGGGTTTATTTTTATTTTTTGGTTTTGGGGGGGGGGGGTTTTTTTGGGTTTTTTTTTTTTTTTTTTTTTTTTTATATTTGGGGGGGGTGGTGTGGGGGGGGGGGGGGGGGGGGGGGGGGGGGGGGGGGGGGGGGGGGGGGGGGGGGGGGGGTTTTATTAATTATTAGGGTTGGGGTAATATTTTATTTTGTTTTAGTTTTGAGGGATTGGGGGGTTTTGGGGGTGGGGGGGAGGGGTTTATGGGGGTGTTGGTGGTGGATGGGGATTAGGGGGGAGGTGGGAGGTTATTTGGTGGGTTTTTGTGGGTTGTGTGGTGGAGGGAGGGAGGATTTGGAAATGGTGGAGCTTGGAGGGGGGGGGGGAGGGGGGGGTATGGGAAAGTTAATAGGGTGAGGGGGTTAGGGGTTGGATGAGGTGAGTGTTAGAGAGGGAGTGTGTAGTGGGGATGGGGAAGTTGAATTGATGTAAGGGGGGGGGGTGATGGGGATGGGGGGGTAGAGGGAGGTGTAGTGGGTTAGGGTTGAGGGTAGTTTTGTGAAAGGTATTGGAAGGGGGAATTGAGAAAGGATTTTGTAGGTGTTGGGTGTTGATGGGAAAAGAGGTGAAGGAGGGTGGGATGGGTGGTATGAAATTTAGGTGATTGAGGGGATGGGTGTAGGAGGGAAAAGGTGTAAAGGATAGTTAAGTGGGGAAATAGAGGTTATAAAGAGAATTGGGAATTGGGGGGGAGAGGGGTATGTAGTATGGGGGTACTAAGCCTGAATACAATATTCCAGGTGGGGTCGGACGAATGCTGAAAATAGCTTCACAAACAACTTGGCCGTTAAGATTCCGAAAGAGCGGTGGATAAACCACAGCATACGAAACCCTCGACAAGCAGCCTTCTTCCAGTTGTCTCCAGAATGAAGTGCTGATGCGTGCACGACTCCTAAATCAACCTGCTGAGTGACAACAGGGAGTTCACCACCGCCGAGAACATATCGGGTGGGAGGATTAGCAGCTCCGATTCGGAGAAGAGAGCACTTAGCCCTATTTATGGGCATCAACCATAAGATAGACCATTCCCAGAGTCTATTCAAGGCACGCTGAATTGCCTCAGGACCCCCCGGGATATCCACAATATTCCAGAGCTTAAGGTCGTCAGCAAACATTAATGATGACACCCCTAGCTCTCCCGGCAAGTCATTTACATTGATCGCGAACAATAATGGCCCCAATACCGAGCCCTGCGGAACGCCACTAAGGACAGCTTGCCTGAGCGAAAGGCTACGCCCCACCCGTACGCACTGTTCCCTCCCCTCAAGGAAGGCAGACACCCATTGAAGGGCGCGACCAGATATCCCGTAAGATCTCAACTTTAGTGAGAGCCGAAGATGTGGAACAGTGTCAAAAGCTTTCGAAAAATCTACGATCGGTAAACCCTTTGTGTTCTAGAGCAGATCGTTGAGCCACGAAATGATAAGCTGCGAGGTCTTGCTGGATCCATATCGAAACACACTAGTCACACCTTGGTCAACCAATTACTGCCCACGCCCCCTGCACTAGCAGTTCCCGCTGTGTAGGTCACGTGAAGTAAGGAAGACGTAGAAGGAATGTGAAGGATAAAGAGGTGGGTGGCATTTAAATAAAATATAACACCAGAGGAGAACGGCGGAATATGAACGTAAAAAAATGGGTCCCTCAGGGTTCGGTGCTTGGCCCGTTTTTATTTTCCTTGTATGTCAACGAGCTGCCCGAACTGCGGAAGGTACCATCTCTCATGTTTGCAGATGACCTAAAGTTTTGGCACACAGTGTCTGCCTTTGATGGACCCCAGACTCTGCAAAGGGGCCCTCGATAAACTTTGCGACTGGGCTGCTCTGTGGCAGTTGCCCATAAATTACGCAAAGTGTTCCATCTTACGAGTAGGGCCAAATAGCCCCCAAACGCGTTATTTTCTTGGCGGTAATGAACTACACCCTGTTACCCAATTGGTAGACCTAGGGGGCACATTGACTTCAGAACTTAAATCCAGTGAGAGCTGGAGGAAAGCTACGTGCAAGGGTTTCAGAACGTTGTGGATGATCCGCAGGGCATTCAGGACCATCACGGGCGCTATGTTTGTTAGGTTATTCTCAGCGTTTGTCAGGCCACACTTGGAATACTGCAGCCAGGCTTGTCCACCTTGCTTAGTAAGGGTCAGGATGTCAGTGGAGAGAGTGCTGATAGTTGGATCCAAACTGGTCCATGGACTGCGGAACCATTCTTACCCAGGAAGCCTACTTGCGCTGGGAATGTTCTCGATGCACTATCGTCAACATCGAGGCGACTTAATCTTAACCTATCGTATACTTACCGGTAAAATCGGACCCGATTTATCCGGGCTTTTCAACCGGCTCGGCTTCCAACGCTTCGAGGTCACTCGCTGAAGCTACATAAACCTCGATCGGATGGAGTCCGGGCGGACCTTCGTTTATCATGCCGAGTGGTGGATTCCTGGAATGCACTTCCCGAGGACGTGGTATTGGCACCAACGGTGAAAGAGTTTGAACGCCGACTCGACGCACTAGGCCTTCAATTCTTAACATTCCTCTTCACATCCTAGCTTCTTCGTTTTATTGAATTATTAAATCTATTTTTTCTTGACGCTTTTATTACTTTCGTACTTCTCTTTCTTATTTCACGTGACCGGTGCGGCGGGGACTGCCAGTGCACGTCGCGTTGGTATTAATTGGTTGACCGTGCGCGCTGCTCTGACTCTTCTGGATTCCACTTACCGCGGACGAATAATACCCTGGATCAACGACGCGTCACGGAAGGAACATTCACGGGGATTCATCCTACTGTTTTGGTCCCACTTGAACTTGAACTTAAATATGGAAGTTGGACATGGTCAGAAAAAGAGTTAGGTTTCTTGTTGACACCCACGAACGTCTGACGGACGCTCGAAACCCTTAACCGTATGTTCACTGACTACACTTTCTGGAAGAAAGTCCCAGCACTCGATAACTCTAAGCGACAACCGAGTTTCCGCCCTGATCCGTTCGGAATGCGACTTGTGTAGCTTCATTGGGGTGAACGCAAATAGTAGGCAACCTAGCTAGGATAAATAGCCTGCCCAAGCTCGGTACAACCTGCTCCGCTAAAATGCGGTTAATGCGGATTCGGCCTCCTGGAATCCGTCGGTAGTGCACTGACTACGTACTCAAACTACGTAGACGCAAGTGCACCATTGCCCCCTAACCCCTCGACCAATTTGGTACCTACTATCAAGTCCCTCGAACTCCCTTTTGTCCCGAAAGATGAAGAACGGAAAAGCCTGGTTGCAGTATTCCGGATGGGACCGAACGATAGCTGATGACAGCTTCACCAATATATCGGCAGTTAAGGCCCCGAAAGAACGGCGTATTAACCACAAGCTTCTGAGATCTCCACATGTGGCCTTCTTCCAGTTTTCACCAGAATGCAAAGTCGAGGAATGGACGAGGTCTAGTTCTACCTGGTTGGACACAAGGGGAGTTCGACCCCACCGAGCATATATCCCGAAGGTGGAAAGTTGCTCCTATACGAATGGCCAAACACTTAGCCACCTTAATGGGCCTCAGCCACAAACTAGACCAGTCTCAGAGTCTGTCCAGGGCATGCTAAATTGCCTCAGGACCACCAGGTGGATTTGCAACCTTACATAGCTTAAGGGCATCAGTAAACAAAAGGAATGATACCCCAGACTCTCCACGGAGATCGTGTACGTAGAGGGACAACAGCATCGGTCCAAGGACCGAGCCCTTTAAGCCACCGCTGGGGACCACTTGCCTAAAGAATAAGCTGCTACCCACACGAACCATTGCACTTACTGCAAGAATGCAGATACCCTGTGCTGGGCCCGGCCAGATACGCCGTAGTAGCTCAGCTTGTGTGATAGCCTCAAGTGGGGTACCTTATCAAATACTTTCGAGAAGTCGATGAAAAGCACATCCACTACTTGGCTATAATCCATTGCCTCGGCCTTAGCTTCATGCGCAACCAAAATATGCGGCAAACACAAAAACCCCTTGCGGAAGCTGTGTTGTACACTACTGAGTGGATTTAATCTATTCAGGTGACCTTTCAACGGATATTGCACAAGCTTTAATAGCAGTTTGACCACGAAGGTAGTCTGATTGACTGGCCTATAATTGGTTGACAGTCTCCTGTCGCCACCCTTGAAGATAGGACAGATGACCGCTCCCTTCCATTCAGAAGATAATGTAAACTGTCAAAGGACTTCTGAAACTACATCGTCAGCGGGCCACTTCGTTCCACCACCAACTCATGCAGAAGCTTCGGGTGAATAGAATCAGGTCGAGCGAATTTAGAAGGGTTCAGTTCCCGCAACAGCCTGAGTACTTGCTTTTCCACAACAGAAACTTTAGCTAGATAAGGACCCTCAGGTATTCTGGGGACACGTGCAACGCTAGTCATCGCGGCCCCAAGTACAAAAGCCCCTGCATACTGCTCTCCGAGTACACGAGCGTTGTCTGAGTCCGCATACACATGAGTTCCATCAACCCGCACAAAGTTGTCTGCTCAAAAGCGCCGCAAAATATGCTCAATTTTATGTTATGCGTTCGCTGCAAATATCGTTAGCGGATATCTAACCTGGGACCATTGGAATGCCAGTTATTGCCCCTAACTCTAAAACAACGGGTCACGTAGGGCAACACTTGGCACAACGGTTTAATGAAGGTTGTTCAGGGTTCTCTTAAAATACACATTGTGTGCATGGTTTGCGACGCGCAATCTCATGTTAACCGCGGTTCCCCTTGCAGCGATCCTTTTTAATTTGTTCATGAGGTCCGTAGCAGCTGAAACAGAATTTGCCCAAGGCTTGCCCGAAAACACTGCACTATTATGATGCATTTCGCCGTCAATACTTCTCATTAGATAGAGTTAGCAGGCAGTGAACCCTGGACCATTGGGATGTCAGAGGTGACTACTAATCCTAAGCCACCGTGTCACGAAAGGCAACGTTTAAAACAACGATTAAAGAAGCGGTGTTCATGGTCAGTTAGCCGTACGCGTTGTATGAGTGAACTGCGACACGCAATCGCAATTTCGCCGCGATTCCGATTGTATTGAACCTTGGCCTTTCGATCACAAAGATCGTAACTGACGCAAATAGAAATTGCATGTTGCCCGCCA